CCCGACAAATCTATGTTTTGGGGACCCTATAGCATGACTCGTCTCTGCCGGCTTCAGCTGCTTCATTTGCTCGAGGAGGGCGCTGGATGGACAGTCCTTGAACCCCTGGTCCCACCGCAGCCGGCGCCCAGGTCTCTCCTTAGTTTCCACTCGGTTTCGCTCAGTGAACCCTGTGAGATCAGGTTGACAGCCAGCGTTTCCAAACTACGCCCCACCCTCCCTTAGGTTTGAAACTGCTCCCTCCTCACCTCGGTGAGGGATCAAAGGTTGAAGGGCAGGGTCAGTGAAGCTTTACTCAGAGTAAGGAGGAGGGGAGAAGATGAGGAAGAAAAGTGTCAGTCCCTCCAGAAGACAAAGGGAAGTACAGGATGGCCATTAAGTAAAGGAGACAACACACATATGCACACACAATCCCTCAGGCCTGCAAGGCTACTCAGTTTTATCGAAAAGTTCAAGGCTTTTTAAGTGTTACAAAGTAGTAGGATGCTGTCCGCATCTATCAGTGCAGAATAAGTAAGTATCAGTAAAATATCCTTTATTACTGCAGCTGAAGAAGGTGTGTCAGAAGAGCACGTCAACTGTCATTCCATCCATCTGTCAGCGTTGCACGGGAACGGCGCAATGCGGAAAGCGGGTGAATACGGGTGTCCTGAAGCAGGCACGCAAATCAGAATTAAAACTATGGATGCACACAAAACTAGAAAACAGAGACACCCTGAGCTCTGATCTCAAAACATTCACGCTCATGTTTCTCTTGTGGGAAAATGAGTTAGGATGCTCCCCCCGGGGAAGCCTCTGGGCTCCTGCGTCTGGTCATCGGCGCTGATACAACAGCTGGCCAAGAGAATACAGTAATTCCACGGAAGAGAGCAGTATTGCCTCTACACAGCACCCTTGCTCTCAAACGAGTGGAGGGATAGCCTGCCACACAATTACAAACTCGGGAAGACAGATGGTTACAGGTATGAGTCTTCAAGCTATTTAAAATACAGGAGTCAGTCTTTTTTTAATGAGTGCCATCTATTGTCTGCAGACCCCGGCAAGCAATGCTGCTTGGTCTGAGCAATTTAAACATTTTTAGATTCGATAACATTCACCATAGAATCTTCACACCTGGCACTGCAGGGTGATCACGGGATTTGACTTTGCACCTGCTGCATGAGGACATAAGAATATGGCATTCGGCTCCCTAATGACCACAAAGCCACCGGACTGAAGAGCCCTTTAAGGCAAAGAGACGAGAACCAGATACTTCACACACTGAGCTTTTTCAAATCAGCGTCAGGTTATCTGCCAACAAACCACCTGGCTTCGAAACTCCGACACACCCTCGGTGTGTCCTGTGTGAAGGCAAAAAAGGCAGTATTTGTACTTTCAAATTGTAAGGCTCTACACAACGGTTAGGATCTTTCATGATCAGTGGGATTTTGAAAAAAACTTAAAAAGGCTAAGGTAGGTTAGAGGCACTAGCCTCAAATACACCATGATTGGACAAAAAAAGCAAAAAACAAAAAAAAGCACAAAAAACAAAAAACGGGAAAATAATACACCATGATTGGACCCGAACACCTTCAATGGCATAATCTGATTGCACACAAAAATATAAAAAGCCTGGGAAAGACAACTATTTTACAGAAATTAAGCGAACTTGTTTTAACCTGCCTGATCCCCGGCATCATGACGGTGAACTTGGCCGGCGCGGCTCACAGGTGTTTCGACATCAGCTTCACCATGTCGTCATACAGCCGCCAGGGGGCGTCCAAGCCCCAGATGAAGTCCAGATGCTCCCATTTGGGGATGAGCTTGTTGTACACCAAGTTGGTGATCTGGGGCAACAATATGCTGACGTCGTTGACGTCCGCCAGCAGGTCCTGACCCCCGCTCCAGACGGCGGTGGGCACAAGCATGTCTCTCACGTTGTAAAGTGGAGGGTAAGTCTAGGATAAAAGCAACCGGAGGCGTCGTTTCAATTTACAAAACAAACACAGTCGACGTGATCCTCCTTAAATCCCGGTGAGATTTACCAGCGAGGATCACGTGGTGAAAAGCGGTCTCCCTTTGCTCTTCAAGTTACCGTGACCACAATGAGAAGAAACCTGAGCCACAGTGACAGAATCCTAACTATGGTACCTGCAGGCGGTCGGGCTGTTACCGCGCGCCGGGTACCCTAACAAGTGTTAAGTTCCCTCGCGAAGGCACTGAGCTCCCGGGGAGTGGATGTGAAAAGCGCGGGAGCCAGGTGGTGGGGCACTGGCTTTGGGGTCGTACCCCCACGCATGGAACACGTGCCACGGGGCCTCCGTAGGCCCGTTTCCTCACCTTCCATAGTAACAACCGGCACACCCGTCACACGGATGTTGTAGGAAACAACGAAGCAAGACAAGCGTGGGCAAAGTGCCTCAGGCTGCAGAGCATGTAGCACTCAAACCACAGTCCGTTTCTTTGTGTATCTTGGCCATGTAACGTGGTTGAGGCCCGCCAGCGACCAGGTGACAGGCCGATGCTAGTCTGACTCTGAAATCTATGTTCCTGGTCACTGTGACTGATGTGTGACGGTGATGGGGACGGAGCCAGGGAGCACCGAGCCCACCAGAGCCCTGTGACTCGGGTGGCTTCCCCGGTGAGCTTTCAGAGCCCAGTTCATTAATTCTAAAGACTTTTGAAGGCTTTACCTGATTGTAATGGAAATAATTCTTGGCGTGGCTTCCCCAGTCAAAGGCTTGAAACTTATGGTATTTAACAACCTAAAAAAGAAGATAAAAGGGAGGAAAACTTGAGTGACACAGAAGTTCAAGAAAGGCTCCCAGGCTGCAGGAGTTAACTACATCCTCAGAAGTCCATTTTACATCGTGTGCAGTTTGACTCTTGATTTCCAAACTGTGATTTCAAACAAAATGGCATCAGGGGCGCCTGGGAGGCTTCAGCCAGTTGAGTGTCCAACTTCAACTCAGGTCATGATCTCGCAGTTCATGAGTTCGAGCCCCGCGTCGGGCTCTGGGCTGACAGCTCGGAGTCTGGAGCCTGCTTCGGATTCTGTGTCTCCCTCTCTCTCTGCCCCTCCCCCATTTGCACTCTGTCTCTCTCTCAAAAATAAACACAAAAAAAAATTTGAAAAAACAAAATGGCATTCGTAGTGTAACGGAGTTGTGTGGCGACTGATGGCGGCCACGTGGGCAGAAAGCACAGCACAACGTGACTTGTCAAATCACTGTGTCGTGCACCTGAAACCAGTGCAACACTGTGTGTCATCTGTACTCCGACAATCTAAATGATAAAGTTACGTTATTCTGATCGGAATAGAGTTACCATACGACCCAATAAAGCAGCTTCGCACACATGCCGTGAAGGACACTGGGCTGACAACTGTACTTGTTAGATAAGCTTCATGATGGCTTTTTACTGAGATTTGAAGCCTAAACTTTTTCAAAGAGTTAACACTCTTATTTGGGAAAGAAATGAGTATTACGTACAATATATGGATTAATGCTAATAGGTGGATTCATATGTATGTGGAATAATATATTCAGATTAGTATGTAAAAATATTGATTATGTATGAACATACCTCTGTGGGATAATATAAACACTATATTATACTTGTATTTAAAAAAAATTTAGGGGCGCCTGGGTGGTGCAGTCGGTTGAGCGTCCAACTTCAGCCAGGTCACGATCTCGCGGTCCGTGAGTTTGAGCCCCGCGTCAGGCTCTGGGCTGATGGCTCAGAGCCTGGAGCCTGTTTCCGGTTCTGTGTCTCCCTCTCTCTCTCTGCCCCTTCCCCGTTCATGCTCTGTCTCTCTCGGTCCCAAAAAAAATAAATAAACGTTGAAAAAAAAAATTTTTTTTTAATTTAATGTTTATTTTAGAGAGAGACAGAGACACAGAGCATGAGCAGAGGAGGGTCAAGGAGAGAGGGAGACACAGAATCTGAAGCAGGCTCAAGGCTCTGAGCTATGAGAATAGAGCCCCACACAGGGCTCAAACTCAAGAGCCGTGAGATCGTGACCTGAGCTGAAGTCAGTTGCCCAATCAACTGAGCCACCCAGGTGCCCCTGTATTATCCTTATATTAATCTATGAGTTAATATATTTATTTATAATCCCCATGTTTTCTAGCTATCCACTCCACTCAATGATTCAATATTTTATTTTATTTTTTATTTTAGAGAGAGAGCACGTGAGCAGGGGGGAAGGACAGGGGGAGGGAGACAGAATCCAAGGCAGGGTCCATGCTCAGTGCGGAGCCTGATGCGGGGCTCAATCTCACGACCCTGGGATCATGACCTGAGCTGAAATCAAGAATAGGATGCTTAACCGACTGAGCCACCCGGGCACCCCTTGTTTTTATTGTTTTCTCAATACTTTAATGATTTTATTTAACACTTATTCTTGAGTATAGCCAGTATAATCACCAAATCGTACCACACACCAACACAATTCTACCTACAACCATGGAATAATACTGTATGTGAAACTGTAATGGATGCATATTTAGAATAGTGACATTAAAACATTTAAAAAGTCACTTTTTCGAAAATTTTGAAATGACACCAATCCGTACCTCCTCTATATCCCCAGATTAAAAACTGCCAAGAATCAAATCCAAAATTGACCAGCTGAATGAATCGGAAACTGTTCAGCTCGGGCCAGTCGGTGGTGCCCAGTAAAGAGAAAAACCTAGACTTGCTTCATCTCGACTGCTTTCAATTTGTGCGAAGCTTCAGTTGTTAGCAATGGCATAAAATGCTACTTCTACAGGAGAAATGTTCAGCGTCTGCCTTTGCCCTTGCAAAGGACAGACACCGGTACCTGAAGCAAATTTAACAAGCGGAATAAAATTTGGACTCACCGCACCCATCAGGGCACCTGTTCTCAGCTCAAATTATCAGTGAAAATCCACCACTGTAGACAGACATCAGTTTCTCACTCTCTCACATGTGTCTTTTAACATTTGTATAAAGCACCAGGAGACGGTATGGGGTACAAAGGAAAAATCTGCCTGGAACTCAGACTGAACTCCAAAGTTGACTTTTGTGCTCAAGAGGCATAGGACTTCACGCCACACACTGGAAAGGGCATTTCAGCAGGAGGACGATGTGAAGGACACCGCACTAACAACCCAGAAATCAGCTGAAGTCCAGTGATAGGGATCTGGTTAAATACATTATGCTACATCCATATGCACAACAGCGTGGCCCCGTCACAAATAAACATAATACAACAGAAAGAGAAAACTGTTCATAAATACTATTAAGTGGGAAGCAGGCAGAAAATGAAATGGAACATGCACTGTGGTTACACTCCCGTGATAATGGTATATGGATAACGAGGCAGAGGAGAAGGTTAAAGTATTAGGATGGATGGTTTTTTAAGTGACAGAAGGTTATTCTTAGGTCTTGAATGATAATGAAAACGTACAGTTTCAATCTCGCTAAAGTACAATATGTATTGCAAGTCTTCGAGTTATGCCAATCTCTCTGACCATGAAGTCTACTCCCACAACTGTATCCTAAGAAAGTAATGTGCCTTGAGTATAAGGATATACTTCTAATTCAAGAACATCTGTCCCAGGATGTTTTACTATGGAAAAGAAAAGGCAAAAAATAGTAATTTAAAATTTTAGGTAACGGAGGAGCGCCTGGGTGGCTCAGTCGGTTAAGCGTCCGACTTCAGCTCAGGTCATGATCTCGTAGTGTGAGTTTGAGCCCCGTGTCAGGCTCTGTGCGGACAGCTTGGAGCCTGGAGCCTGCTTCAGGTTCTGTGTCTCCCTCTCTCTCTGTCCCTCCCCCGCTTGTGCTCTGCCCCTCTCTCTCCCTCCCTCTCTCTCCCTCTCTCTCTCTCTCTCTCTCTCTCAAAAA